AACAAAGTAGTACCAAACCATGATGATTAAAACAAAGTAGTACCAAACCATGACGATTAAAACAAAGTAGTACCAAACCATGATGATTAAAACAAAGTAGTACCAAACCATGACGATTAAAACAAAGTAGTACCAAACCATGATGATTAAAACAAAGTAGTACCAAACCATGACGATTAAAACAAAGTAGTACCAAACCATGATGATTAAAACAAAGTAGTACCAAACCATGACGATTAAAACAAAGTAGTACCAAACCATGACGATTAAAACAAAGTAGTACCAAACCATGATGATTAAAAAAAAGAAAGTACTTGCTTAATATACCAAGATTTATGCAGGCAAAGTTAGTAAACTACAGGAATGAATCACTGTCAGAGCCAAGGGACAGTTTTAGTCCTTTGTCCTCTGGCTCCAGGGTTGTGCTTCAATAAAGGGTTAAACTCAGACAAAGAGAAGGAGGGACAGTTTACCTTGAGTTTGTTCAGTATCACCTGTGAGACAGAGAGTACAGATCAGTCAGTTTATTTTAAAGTAAAACTTCAGTCATGAATTCTGTTTGTAGTGGAAATCTACATGATATTAGAAGAATGGAGGTGTTCTCCACTGTTTCAGCTACTACCACACCTAACTGACCAGGTTACAGTCATTCTTAGGTTTGTTAGGTTCTTTTTTTTGTGGGAACTAGTACACTGAATTATTGTTTTCTGTTTTTATGTTGAATTAAAATAAAAAAAGAGGAACATACCATAAGTATCACTGCCAGGATCCACTGCACGACCTGAATGAATGTTAGGAACAAAGTCAAGTTAGAGCTTGTGAAAGTTGTAAAAGCAGAACTAATTTTTTCATTTGTTTTTCTGTCAGTTTTGAATCTTTAAAATGTACACTCATCAGATCAACACTCTTTATGTGGCTTCTTTGTTTTCCAGTTGTTGGTGGAAACAAAGCTGAATTCATGCCAGGTGATGGGAGCTGCTGCAGTGTGTTCCCATCAGACAGAATCACAGCAGAAAAGAACATGTGCTTCTGATTAGAGCCTGATGCCTGTGGCTTTTTAGTCTTTTCCTTCTTTTCTTTTTTTCTTTCATTCTCCTGCTTTTTCAGCAGGAACAGTAACTGATTACTTTCTGACTTAAACAAAACATCCACCCTGAAATATAGACAGGCTGCTTCATATGGATGGATGGATGGATGGATGGATGGATGGATGGATGGATGGATGGATGGATGGATGG